CTCCCTACTGGATATTAAATTTTTTTTTTTTTGATTGAAAATCCAAATTTCAAGTCAACTTTTTGGTGGGGTCTGTGGGTTTTTTTGAAAGTGGTATTCAGTTCTACACTGGTGACCTACTGGTGACCGAGATTTACGTTTCGGAGGCGAAAATTTGAATCAAAGGTCCGTCGTGAAAAATAAATATGGGGAAGGCAATGGCTCAGCCTCACAATCCCTCAGAGTATTTCTGTTTTCACGAGGCAAACCCAACTTTATTAAACGTCTCATTTCGTTTATTTATATCGATATTTACACGATACTTAGAATTTACCTACGTGTTTATTTATTCTAAGGCATTAGTATCGCCTTTATTATACCGAATCTTACAATAATACACCGGTTTTTTCTAGCACCAAGTCTAATAGGGGAGAAGTTGAGACTCAATAAGAAGAACACCTACACTAATTCAAATATGTTCAATGCTACTCATATATAAAACTTCCGTAGGAGGAATATGCTGTGGCGTTTTAGTACAGATCCATAATCTGTGGTAGACAAGCATGGGATCCCGACCAAAACAATGATCACTGAGTCCGTAAGAATGACACAGGAAGCTGTGAACAGAAAACTAGAAGCAAAGGTTAAGAAAGCAGCGAGAAAGCGAGCGGAGGTAGATGAAGATGACACCGCTCACAAGGGCATTGGCACTAAGAAGTTTAAGTCCAATATTCTACTAAGGGAGCTACTAAAGGAAACGGCCACAAGAAATTCAAGACCAAGGACAGCGTAGCCTTGGTCAGCGTAGCCGAGGCTACGGTAGCAAAGACACCACAAACTAGTAGTGAAGACGTACCCCCACCTATTGGTGAAAGTAGCGTGCAAAAATGAAAATAAATACGTAAATTACGTATTTAAAAAAACAAAACAAAGTTCAGGTTCAATCGAAATCCTTTATCCAGTGAATCATTAGCGAAAATTTTTAATATTAGAATTCTATTGGGTTTGGTATATTATCCTTACCCCTATTGATCGAAGAAAATCAAATGATGTGACGTACTACCAAGACTGAGGTTTGGTTGGACCAAAGTCGATGGTGGACGGAATTTTGGCAGAATTCTATTATTTCGAGAAATGTTCCCAAAAGGCCCAAAGGGTAGTCCCCCTCGGCCCCACTCACCACTGTGAGAACATAATGCCGGTGTAAAAATATGTAGAATGGTCCCAACAAGTCGATATTTACAGTCGTCTTGAGTTTACTACAGCCGTTGCAAAAGTACCGAACTTCTAGTCATTCATGGACGAGTGTAGACTGTAGAAACCTAAAACCCTAAAGTCTAACAAAAAGCCACTTTAGTGACGAATTTAGCACTCTTGGCCAATCAGATTTCGGATATTGACAAAATGTTTAGTCGAGAGAGAATGTTTACCCCTAAAATAATACAAAGGAAATTTTGCGATTGTGAAGTATGATGTGGTATGTATTTACCGGTTATATAGCGTGTCGAGCTTGGGTTCCTTCTGCCTACTTCTGACAAACACTGATCCATGACAATAGGATCGAAAGAAGTTTATAACAAATACATCAAGATTGGAGACGCAAGCAAGACTGACACTTGCGTCCACTCCAATAAGTATAGGGATAGCGTCACGAGCATCTGATACCTCATCATAGTGACAGATCAAAGCGAAACCACTTTTACGGCTGGCGTAGGGCTAGCCCTTTATTGTTAGTTATATTTATACATTATGTTGGAGTCACTAGCGACTGATCTGTTGAACAAGTATCTGGGCGAGTTCGTAGAGAATGTCAGTCAAGACAAGCTCAGCATACAGATGTGGAAAGGTATGGACTTCTATACGTACTTCCCATGTGACCATAATTCGGAATGTGATCGGAATGTGATGCAAATCACCTAGATAGAGTCCTGTTTCGCATACACATAAACATTCAGTGCACGGTCATGTATAATTGTCTCTCCCATACAGGTCAGCAATATTCTGTTCAATCACAATCTTTCACAACTTATGTATATAGTCATTCACAAACACAAGCGATTATGTTTGTGCCGACAACGGCCATATAAGTATCCATGCTTTTACGCAAGGTGCTTCGAATTTATGTAGGTTTCGTACGTGCCTATATTTGTATGTATATACAAATGAATGGTTA